AAGAATCCATTCCAATTGTAGCCACGGTTTTATTACTCTGCTATATGAGTGTTCGAATAATCTAAAATAATTATGGATTATCGAATTAAACATATGAAATAATGTGTAATTAAAGTTACATACTTCTTCTGCAAATGTAATAGCTCGTTTCCATCTTTATACGCCGTTTTCTGAATACCCACAACTGACGCTGTGAATTAACATTTATCAACTTTTGTTATTTAATTATAATATAAATCGTAACAACAGAAATTTGATATCAAAGTTCGTTATAAATCAGATTATACAGATAAGATTTTTCAAGTGTACACACATGCACTACGATTCTCACCTAAAAATATGTCAAATGTGTATTGCATTATATGCGGTTTAAGATCAAACATTTGTCCATCGACATTTTTTTCTATAGCGTCTGCACAAAGATTGCTAAAGTTATCGAAAAATGTTGCATATTTGGATAAATACTTGAGATTCAACAAGGGATGTATTATTTTTCGTCGAAGTTTGTGAGTTGCACCTATCAATAGTAAACGCAATATTAAATATAAAGAAATACGTATATCATCCATATCTATTCAATATTAATTTAAATCTATATTATTGTATAAAATTAAAAATATAAAGAACAAAATAAAACAAATATTTCTCATATTTAGACACATTACCTGAAGTTCTGACAATTCCGTCACCAATTATTACCTCCCATGTTTTGGTTACCGATGTTTTGTAGGTACCATTTACGTTCGTAAGCACAAGCTGTATATTTAATTCAATGAATTATCTATTATCGACTGTTACGTCTTTTTATAAACTTACTTTATAATCCTCGGGTTTTGAAAGTACTACGACCACATCTGTTCCTAAGATAAAACGAGTAATATTTCCATACTTTTTAGTAGTTGAATCTACACAGTCTAGAAGTTCTGTAAAGATATATTTACATATAATACCATTTGCAAAATTAAAATATTTTTGAGATAATAATTTTAAATATTTATTCATAATAATCATAATTTTTATATTTAATTTTACCTAAATAATAAATAATATGTACATGCGTAATTAATTATACAACATATTGTAAATTATATACTTATTTGTACAAAACATTTAAAAATGTATTTACTGCAAGTATTTTAATTCAACACGAAGTTCGATTTAAATAAATGTTTTTATCTTAAATTATACTTTAAGACATCTTTATACTCACTTTTATAATTGAGAGCAATTTGCAATGAATTAACAACAGATAAAAATATAGGCGCACCAGGCAGAGAAAAAGCAAATTCTAAGTTTCTTTTTAATTTGTAAAATTCTTTCTTGTTAACAACAAAAATAAATATTATAATCAAAATTACAGCAACTGCTGCCAAAAATATATCTGTAAAAATATTAAATAAATATATTTTAAGTGATTACATGTCTTTCTACTGATATATATTAATTTAATAAGAAATAAATTATTTTTTTATTAAAGAATTAATATCACTTTTATTACATTTTAATATTATA